CAGATTATCCCAAAGTCATTCCAAGTTTACCAAAGCAGGTTGTTTCTACTCTAAAAAGTCACAATCTGTGTTAGTCAACATGATCCAAACTCAGCATTTCGGGGAGTTTTCTGTCAACCTTGCAAAATAAACAGCTCTCTGTAATGCCCCCATTCTTTCACCCCCTCCCCTCTTCCCTTTCTGTCTGCCTCTGTCTCTCTGTCTCTCTCTCCCTGTCATAGTTGCTCATTCGCAGGTTGATGGGAGGCATCAGAAGGGATGAGTAAGAAGCATTTGAGACAAGTCTGTGAGAGACACAGCGTGATATCAGTGGAGAGGTACGTCTCTCTCAGAGCCATCTCTGGCCATGTCCACAACTGGGAAACAACAGATGATGCAGCAGAAAGGATAACCCAGGCAAACACCCAGGGGCAGGATGTTAATGTGGCGAGGTTACCGTAGAATGAGAGTACACAGAGGGGTCACCAGGCCAAGTGCGAGCCGGCTCTCCTGCTCATGTCCCATTATTTAAACACACACGCACATGCCATTCTCTTTCTTCCCAATCATTCTCTACATGTAGAGCCTTGTCAACTAGCTCCGGACTGACACATTCTGACCGACTGCTCTTTTTGACTTTGTGTATGTGTTTTTGTGTACATGTGTTGTGCTCAAAGAGTGGGAGGGGTGTGGCTCTCTGTTCCTGGTGTCTGAAGGCTCTGATTTTTGTGGCAGGGCTGTCAGATCTCCATTCCCTCCACACCAGATCAATGCCAGCGCCAAGCAAGTGGCAGCGCCTGATGAGAGCCACCAGCCCTGCTGACGGGTGCCTGCTACGACAGGGAATATGTTCTTCCAAATAGCAAGCTGGTAGCAACTGAGTGACACACACAAAGAGAGGCACTACAGAGGAAGTTTGGTTCCTTCGCTGCACAGGGATGAAGAATCCTTGAGGTCTGAATGTTGCAATGTCAACATACAGTAAATACCATATGTGCACAGTGTGGTTTGGAGATGTTAATTATATTTTTAAAAAATTGATTACTGATTATCTTTATAAATCTGTTTTCAACAAGTATAAAACCTATTTGTCCTTTTTTAATCTTTAGTAGCTGATTTCTAGCCAGCTGTTTGGTGTTTCTGACAAACTGCATCTTCAAATTTAGCTTGAATTCATTGACATACAATTCATATATTATTTCCCAGTATGCAAGTGGTGATTAAATATTTGTGAATAGATGGATAATGAATGGAAATATTTCAAAATATTTCAGAGACAAACTGTTTGGATTCATTCTCAGTAATAAAATATTTACATGTGACTGTGATGAAGTGGAGTAAACTTCAAGCCTACAGATCTATTGAATGATGAATTTGACTAATGCATGCTAACATGCATGCAACAAACAGCACACCAACTGATTTTTAATATGCCACTGTCATTATTTAAGTAAATGAACAGTAACACTTGCTCCTTCAAAGTAGTTTGGTCCGATGGAATGAAGTCAGTGCAATAAATTTCACTGAAATCATTTTTCACCAAAAGCCAGATGCAGAGGATGGGTATGGGGACAGCAACAGAGCGATGCATTTAATGCACAGCATCAAAGCCATAACACTAAGTAGGTGCTGCCCACTTAAATCTTTACATTCTTCATTCACTCATTAGCTCACCAAACACGGCAGTCCCCATAGGCGAGTAATGAATAATCATTAGCAGAAGGTCCACAAATTATTGATGTAAAATAAGCAATGATTCTTTTTTTGTTTTGCAATTTATTGCCATTAACAAGTAACTTGCAATCCAATAAATGTCAGCATGGCTTTCAGTTAATTAAAGGGAAAGATATTATACAGTAATGCAGGGTGGCGTTTATATCTCGATTTCCACAGACTGCAATTTACTGCTGGGCCTTTATTTGAAGGGACCCACAAATAATGGCTATTAAGCCGTCAGGGGATGGACAGGGGACCACATTAATGAAATTAGATAAGGTGGAATGGTGATCTACACAGCCTGGACTCTGGGTACACATACAGACACACAAACCCACACAGACATGTATGCACACTGTACACAAGCCTGACACATTAGGACTGCATGTTGTTAAGTTTCCTTTTTCATTTTGCATTTCTCCTTTCCTGCCTTCACCTCTTCTGCACTTTGTCCGAGCACCAACCGGAGCTCAGTTAGGTGTTCGACATGAGGGCCTGTCACCTCATCAGGGAAACTTTCCCCTGTTTGTCCTGAGCATTCTAGGCAGCCAGTCAGTCCATCAACCCAGCCATCACCACTGGCAGCACACACACACACACACACAGGCGCGTACACTGACAAACACGTCCACATCTTCCCCGCTAACAGGGAGGTGTCACTCGGGGAGGCAGCTGTAGTTGCTGCTGTGACGGCTCTCCTCAAATCAGAGACCCTCGTCCCTGTCAACAGCAACCTGGCCCTGAGGCTACCACTGTCACACTGTCCCCCCCGCCCCTCCACCCCCACCGAACACACTAATATACACACTGACTCGGGGGAGGAAGAAGAGGAGATGGAGGAGGAGGTGGCTATGTCCTATCTGAAGAGTTGATTTCCACTAGAGCAGGTGAGCAGGGTGAGGGAGAAGGGAAGAGGAGAAGAACAGGGAAAAAGGGGAGAAGAAAGGAAAAAAGGAAGGAGTGAGGAATATGTGTTTCAGTTAGAACAGCGGGTCTGATTTCTTTCCTGACAGAGAGGCCCAATTATTAGCTGTGACAGTTTAGGGAAATTGGGCGTAAGTGTGATGGGACAGATAGGAGTCGAACGCATGGGGGAACTAGTAACTTCAACAGATGCCCAAGTCAGGTCGAAATCCTGCTGCTGGATTCAGCTCACCCAGTTTCATGCATAACAATGTAACAGCCTTAATACTTCCTTGTTTTCTGGCTTTGTTTTGTTCTCGTCCTCTCTGTCTTGCACCTCTCTTTGTGTGCATGTGTATATGAATGACTTAGGCTGTATTTATGCTGGCAGCAAACATAAGAGGCTCTCTGTGCAATTGGACAAGGTGCCGATATCTCAGTCATGTGACAGTGACTTCCTGTCTGTATGTCAGACAGCAGCTGAAGGCTTGTCAATACATGCTCGTGCTCACATCCTTTCCCATCACCTCAAACACAAACTCACACAGCCAGAGGAGAACTGCGAAAAACACTTATCTCTTCCTACACTGCATGTCATGCTTCTTCTGTGGGAAGGAACGAGAACTTTTGACTATGACAGTTACTGTTTTTACAAACAAAAACTATAATTGTTCAGTTGATATTGATTATGAACACTGGAGGAGCCAAGGTCAGGAGGTGAATTTGTCTCTATCACAGAGAAGTCCTACCCCTAAACACTGTGGTATTAACTGTTTGCTTTTTTAAAATCCTTTATTTTATACATGTTTAACAAGACATAGACGATGTACATTTTCTTTCTATCCCATCTTCAAATCCAGTTTTGCGTTTTGGCTCCTCTGCCAAACTGGGACCCAGACTGGAGGCTGTTTCAAAAGACAACACTGCCCTCCTATGGCTGAAAGATGTTATTAAAATATAACATCCACGCTATCTCAGTGCATGAGTAGAAATTAAGGATTGTGAAAGTCATCCAAAACAAGTGTAAAATGCATTTTTGTGATCAGATGTAAATATCCAAATATGTTTTTTTTATTTGTTTTTACAACTTTCTACTTTTTCATTGATATACACAATGAAAAGCCAAGAGTTACAGTTTGTGAAGTGATATATGCCCATTAAACACCACTCACACACTTGCACAAACACAGAAAATGATCCAGTGATCCATAATCCAGCTAAATCCCAGTCTATGTGTGTAGCATCAAGTGTGCTTGATAGATGTTCATTGCTGTGACTACAACCCATCCAGTCTCTGCTTCACATTTGTCATTGATCACAGCCAAGCCCCCACTGGCAGGTCTAATTCATTTACGGACTTGTCATTCCACATCATTGATTAAGTTGTCCTTCATCCCAGCTTTAATTATATGCAAAGATAAAAGATTTTTTCATTATTGTGTTTAATCTAATGAAAGGCCTTGTGCTACAGCAGGGGCTGGTTCAGAGGTCCAGACTGTTGACCTTGGAGGGCACAGCAAAGGGATGAATGTTTTAATTAGAGCAAACGGCTTTGGGAGGAAGAGCCTTAAGCTGTCTGTTAGGCTAGAGGGTGGGATAGGTTGGCATTGAACAATTTAATAGATCTCCATAGGTCACTGGTTCTCACCTCTATTGACTCCAGCTCAAATCTTATCACTGTTTAGCGGACGGCAAAAAATATGTCTTAAAAAGGTTTTTAATTCAGCCTTCACTCTTTTTTTGTTGACACTCATCCAGTGATTTGTTTATTCTGCTTTGATTCGTGATGTTTGGGGAATAACAGGAGTATTCTAAGAATTCCAAATAGTGTAATTATTTCATTTAATTTTGTTCAAATAATTTTCCCTTACAGAACTTTGAATCTGAGACCAAATATCTTATTAAGATTAGCTTCCTGTCTACAGATTCCTCTGTAGACAGGAAGGCTGAGCAGATGTAACTGACAGGCTACGCCACTAGAGGGCAGTACTGCCTCATCTGAGCCATTGTGGTGACAATACTGTTCCTTCTCAGGAGGGGGCAGTTTGCTGATACTTTAAACTTTATAATAGTAAAAATAGTGACACTCCCAGAATAATTAGAAATTGACAGAACACAACAGACCAGTCTGATATGTTATCTTAACTTTGAGTGACAAAATTTAATCAAAGCTGCCTTGATATTAAGCCAAATTTATCAATTAATGATTCATATATTACCACAATTTAAATAAATTCTTTCTTTCTTTCTATTATGTTAGATCACTAGCAATTCCTTTTAATTTCTGGTAATAAAAATTAAAGGTTTTTGTGTGAAGACCATCAATATCAGTCTTGTCAAATAATTGTCATCATCTTTATTGGCATTTCAACAGGAGCAGGATTATTACAATACTCTTTTTCATCTGAAATAATATACTAGCAAATATAAAATGAAAATGCAATACAAGTCAAATAAGTTTGTACAGTAATAATACGAATGTTTCCTGGCTTGAAATGTAAAAAAAAAAACTTCATTTACAAGGCAGCACACAAAAACAGGCCACTCTAGGAAATACATTACCACAATTATTAACAATCAAACGAAAACAAAAGGCTTGATAATGACACTTAGGAGCAGCTACAACCTCATGTCACACTCTCTACATGTGTTCCTTTGGCAAGTCATGTACAATAACAGATTGCTTTTCTCAGATGTAGCTGATAAGTCTAAGGCAAGATCCCATTTCTCATGTGACAAGTCCAAAGAGCACAACTGGAAAGATTTTGAAAATCAAAACTATTCATTCCCCAATAAAAGGAGAAGACAGCAGAGATGAAAATGGTAAAGATCACATAGATAGTCTTGTGGATTAGATTTCATTCTACTATATTCTCACACTTTACAGAGAAATCCAAATCCACAGTGCATCAATAGTCAAAACACATTGTTTCACTGTAACTGTAAGATATATATCTTTTTATCAAGCCCTGTAACCTGAAAATTACAACTATTACAAGTAAACAAGACAAAATGTGATCATCGTTTCTCTCTCTCCAGCCATTAAGAGTATCTCACAAAGACTTAGGAGCATGTTTCCATTCATTATCCATGTATTCACAACTCAGACTCATTCCGCTCCATTTGGTATATAACCGTTAGTGGTCCATTTCAGCATCAGACTCATGACTCACTGTAAACACAAATTATCCTCCTCCAGCTTCCACTGGATGTCATCAGGCATTCACCTCCTCATCTTTACTATCTCATTCATACATGGATTCAGCCAGGCCTGTCCTCTTGAAGGTCTCAGCCACCTGTCTGGAATGTTGCATCTTAGCTGACAGCGCCTCTAGAATGTCATTCTGGTCCACAGCAGTTGCTGTCCTGTAAATGAAAGTCCCCATTGTCTCCAGACCGCGCATACCTAGATTTACCCCACAGCCTGATGGATGAAGAGGAAAGGCAACATAGATGTCATACACATAAACACAAAATAAAATCTCAGTAATGCATAACACATATCTCTGATAAGCATACTGTTCTTCATTTTGCAAACAAATAATAAACTGTAGCCTTGAAGTAACAGTTATTGCCCAAATGAAAAGAACACAGCAACACATAAACATTGAGCAGGGCTGAGTCTAAACCAGCTGAAAAGGTCACAGTATGCAGTAATCAGTCATACACCATCAACTCGCACATATTGCACCCATAAACAATGGTAAATCACTAAAAGCATAAATAATAATAATAAAAAAGAATAACTGATCTTTGAATCTCCTTTTCTTTACATCTCACTTTTTTTTTTTTTTTACTTTGTCTCATTTATTCCAAGGGCCCTCTCAACAGGCTTCTATGATGTTACGTCTCGGCTTCAGCGGTACTTTGAGAATGGACAGTAACTGGTGTTTTATTACCACATGTACCTGTGTCAAAGTTGAGGACACGTGCTGCCTCCCCCTCCACAGTGACTGCCACGTTGTCCCCTTCAATGTAAGCTGCGCTGATGCGTCTGTGTGACAACTGAATCTCAAAGAGACGGCGGCTGCACTGCATGTGGTGGAGCGTCACATCACTGAGACGAGGCTCTATGTCAGTCTTATAGGCATTGAATGACTGGTGGAAAATGTTCTTCATGATCTGGGTGACACAACAGAAACATTTATTTTCTCATTATTTACAGCAATAGCGAAGGTCATTTCCCCAAATTTGGGCCTTGTCATGAATTCGCTCGCTTATTCAGCTCTTTAAAAAATATTTACACACATGTATGTATGTATGAAGGCTGTAATAACCACCCAACATCCTGAGAACAAGGTGTACCATAGTTTAATTAGTTTAAAAGAATAAAGTATGATTTTAGAAACTTCTTGGGCCATGGCTGCTGAGGTCCTATGCACCACATTGTGCAAAACACCTGAAACAGCCCTGACATTTGATGACGTAGGCAAAGCATCTAAGGAAAGTAGTTATTTATACTGTTTTAAAATTATGTAATGGTGGGTATTTGATGTGAGCCTGCACACTGTGCTATCTCTTGTGCTCCTGGAGTGGACAATATGATGGTGAGACAGCGCTGAATAAATATATAGAATGAATTTTGATTTGATTTGGCTTTTACAAGACAGTTTATGAAAGAATTATCACTCGCTACAAGCGTAAATAGCACTTCTGGATTTAATCTTCATGACAACGTGGCTCTGACGTATGGTTATGGAGTGAAATTAAATGTGTGTGAGGCATCGAGATTTATAGTCGTTCCTCTCACACTTAATTTCTACTGTCTGACAGGTTCTCACATTCTCCGGTCAAGTTTTTTTTAAAAGTACATGTCACAACCTGTGTGTGGGAAGTGACATACACCGCTTTCAGGTCCTGTTTTGTGCATACGCCACGTTTATAAATGAGACCCTGGGTCTCTAAGGTAACATGTTTGTTGCAGCTTTTCCTCTATCTAGTGTGTAGCAAAGCACATGTAAATTTTACAGTCTGAACTGACTCATATAAAAGACTACTGCCATTTTGTGTTGATGCATGAACTCTGAAGGTTGAAAATCTGTCTGGTGATTGCTGTGTTGCCTTCTCCTTGATTCTATACTAGCTGTGAGTACTGAGTGACAAGCCCGTCTCCGCTTCTCTTGCTTTTTATCTCCGCTCAACTCTGACTTCTTCGACCCATACTTGCACAGTCATTTGTTACCAAGTAACAGTGCATCTGAATGCCTCCCACGTAGCAACAAGCGCTCCAAGGATGGTCTTGCCACTTACCTGAGTGTACTACACCACATGTTGTGGATACAGGGGATGCATGGTCAGAGCAGTGCTTAACAGGAAAACGTAATTGTTTAAATAAGATGGTGCTTGAGACTCTTCTCACAACTTATTGAGCACAGGAAGAAAAAAACCTACTCCCCATTTATTCACAGCAGGGTACAGATGGCCTCTACACACAATCATATACACCCTGGTGAGATTTACCCCCGCCACCCCTTTCTTCATCTTGTGCTCACTCTGGCTCAGACACACTATAACACTCAAGTGCATCCATAGACTTAAGCACTCACACAAACCTATACAGACACTAATGGACTCCTACAATAGAGTAGTCAAAGGCCATTTGCTAAATGGAAGGTGAGGAATAAGTAGGCAGGCAATGCTGCCTACTTAGGCCAGTTTGTCTTTGCCTTGCAGTAACATGCAAATACAGCTTCATATTCTTCACACCCTCAGGTGTAAGCAGCTAAATACGTTTTGTAAAAGATTTTATCAAATGGGAACAAGTCTCACTGAGGAGTTGGCTGTGTGCCTGAGGAAGCGAACCATCTTGGTGTCAGAAGCAGGGCAGATGAGGGCCATGTAGCGGTTTCTGAAGGTACCATAGATCTTCAGGTGGAAGCCAGGTTTGGTTGGTGGGTTTCGGTGCTCTCTGAGGGCCTCCACTCCATAAGCAGACAGGTCAAAATAGAGGCTGTGCGCACGGATCTCAGGAGTGGGCACCTGTAGTTCAGGGAGAGAGAGAGGAGACACCAGATCAAATCATCTATCCATCCATCCATTCATTATCTATACCACTTATTCCTGATCAAATCATTAAAGATGTAATAAAATATACAAGGTACGGCTATGAGATTAGTGTTTGATATCATCATTTTAGCATTGTGAATATATCTACACATTACTGTATGATGTGTATGCATTGAAAAGGCAGAACATGGCCTATACACTATCTCTGCCTGTGGAGCTGTTGTCACTTTAGTGGACATTAAGAACAGCTTGATTTTTCTGGCACTGATTCCTTGTTTTCCCTCAAGCCAGAAGTGATCAATTTCATTTTCAATGATATAAACCAGCCAAGTGGGATCAAACAGAATTTAGTGTAGCCAAGGGAAATATCAAGAGAACAGAGCAGCAACTGGGAATGGGTGGGGGCTGCGAGTGCAGCAAGTCATATCCTGGGAGGTAAATTAAATCACTACAGGAAACAGTCAGGGAGAGAAAGGGGCCACTAAAAGGCAGCTATACAGCCACCAAAGGGAACATAATATGAATAGTTATGGTGACATAAAACTGCAAAGAAGACTTTGCTTGTGTTCACCACTGGTCAGATCAGGAAGCTTTTCACCTCAACCTGTTTATTTGTTACCACACATGAACCCCCCCTGTTGTACAGACTATCACTGTATAATCATAAAAAAAAAAAAACCTGTTGTCTACTCCCACAGATTTGACTAATATCTTGTGATCTGTGCAGCACGAGGAGCAGGCTACTGCTGTAAATATCATTTGTCTGTGTTGTGTATGTCTCCACCTCAGTGGACCAGCAGAGATGTGATATTTGTTTGTTGATCTCTGAGCAATACGTCTGCCTGAATAAGTCCACAAAGGCTTGCTGTCTGTGCTACTATTACAGATTTCTTGGCTCATTTTCAGTTTTTAACATCTTAATCTGCAGCTGCTATAACATTACATCCTCAAATATACAATGAATTAAGTCAATTTTGGGAGCATGTTTAGAAGTTAACAGTTAGTGGTAGGGGTCCACATGTATCTATTCAGTCTTTCGTGAGTCTCAACATCACTGAGTCACTATTGAAGAAGCCATTTGCTCATATAATGACAGGTGACCTTTGATGCACCATGTGAAAGGCACTGCAGCTGATGCTTTGATATCTTGATTCATGGTCACCTGGGAGGGAACAGATTATGCATCTCTCCATGGGGGTGTAATAAATTGAAAGCTTTATCATCACTATCACCTGCCTCCATCAAAACAACAGCAGCTTTTATCAAATTTGATGAATAAATCAAAACAGGGCCATTGTTGGTGCTGATTAAATTCAGCAGTCTGTTGAGATCTGGCTGTTTATGTTGTATAGGAGTCAAATATTGTGTTCAGCTGATACTGGCATGTCCACATCACTGTTTGCTCAAATCAGCTCTATGAGGCCTTCATTCTTTACACAAACAGCAAACCTTTTGGTTATTGCCTTACTGTGTGCACATAAGTAAATGCATTCATCAGTGTACATATATATTCATGTGCTGTATGTGTATACAGATCATGTGTAAATATTTGTGTGTATCCACACTGATCAGCCACAACATTAAAACCAGTGGCAGTTGAAGTGAATAACATTGATTATCTTGTTACAATGGCACATGTCAAAGGGTGGATACTGTATGTTAGGCAGCAAGTGAACAGTCACTTCTCAAAGCTGATGTGCTGGAAGCAGGAAAAACTGGCAAGTGTAAGGATCCGAGTGACTTTGACAAGGGCCAAACTGTGATGGCTGGTGACTGGGTCAGAGTATCTCCCACACTGCAGGTCTTGTTGGGTGTTCCTGGTCTGCAGTGATTAGTTCCTACCAAAAATAGTCTAAGGAAGGACAAACAGTGAACTGGGGCCCAAAGATCACTGATGTGCATGGGGAGTGAGGCCTAGCCCATGTTGTCCAGTCCCACAAAAGAGCTGAGGTAAGTCTCCAGGAAATGAATGTAATTCACTGTAAAATCCCACAAAAAAATAAAAACAAATGTGTGTGTGTGTGTGTGTGTGCTGACCTGTCTCTGGTCTAGTCTCTCTATGGTTGCATTAGCTCCATAGGCATGGCAGGACTCCATGGTGTAGTCAGAGCTGATGCCCAGCACCGAGCAGGAGTCGCCACATGACCCATCAGCAACCACAATCACACGTGGCCAGTCACTGTGCGGGATGCGGTGCAGGTATTCTTCTGTGAACTAAAACAATGAGAGAAAAGCAAAAATTTATAGTATAGTTTGGTATAAAGCTCATTTGCATAGCTTCATATTGAACAGTGGTCACCATATTAACAGAAGGGGTAAGTAAACATGACACACTGAGCTTTGCCTGTTATTAGGTGTTTTGTGAAATAAGGGTCTAGTTGCAAAATATATCTTATTCTGTGCTTTTATGCACATGTATGTAGGCCCAATAAACCACTGTCAAATTTAAAAGACTTTTTTCTTTTTTACAGGATACTGAAGCACTGATAGGCTGGAGTAAAAAAGAAAAGTAATCAAGGAGTGTCCTGTTTCAATGTAGGGACAATGGTGAACCTCGCTGTGACTCTAAAGGAAACTGAAGTTTGTTGTGATCAAAGACCTTGTTGACCTTGCCTTGGTGAATCACTGGAAAGGAGGGAGGATGGCAGCAGCTAACAGGAACAAGAATGGATCTAAGGAGAGAAAAGAGCTGCCGGCTAGAGCTACAGGAGAGTAACAGCACAACAGTATACAACATAGATAGTTATTTTTCTTGATGAGTAGTCACCACTACTGTCAGACCTCCTGATGGAGGGGAGGCTCACACCAGCCTTGACCTACTGTTCAGGGAGGATCAGATTTTGACAGCAAGATGAGGTCGTATGAGAAGTGAAGTCTCTTACAAAGTCATCAAATATTATTTCCAGTCCATTGACAATTATTGATCCATTTACATAAGTGTCATTTAAAGAGGAAACTGCAGTTGTATATCATGTGGCTTGAGTATGAAGCCCTACAACTCTTGCACATTATTGTAGAGTGGTCTGAGGTGCGACTGTAAGATGGTACCGTCATGCCAAAGTGTAATTTGAAATCAGTGAGGAGGCTATACCTTGGTTCCCAGGTGCACCTTGACGTCCACTTTCTGTTTCTTCTGCTCCAGGATACTCAGCAGGTACTCCTGAAACACACCTATCCTGGTGAAGAAATGCTCATTGTGCCAGCAGCCCTCCATGTTATCAAAGTCCACCCCGAGTCCCAGCAGAAACTTCACACTGCGAGGATCTAGGGCGATCTGCTGGGGCCGACAGAGCAGGGCAGTCCGGTACCTCTCATCCAGCACGGTCAGCTTCAGCACCTTCCCGGATCGGACAGCGACCAGCGCTGCTGTCAGCCCCACGGGTCCCGACCCCACGATGAGCATCGAGATCCTGGCCCGCCACTGTCTGATGCCGTCCAGGCTCACTTTCACCACCACATACACGGCCACGGCCACCAAAGTGCTCAGGGCAGTGTCATAAGCTAGAGCGCGATACTTCTCCGTGTTGCCCCCGATACCGCCAACTCCAGCACTGCCTGCCTGCAACCCGTCCATACCGCCAGCAAGAATGATACTGTAGCGTTTTGTGCAATGGACGGTGTACGCCAGCAGCTGTATCCTCCCTTATCACTTTGCTGAATGTCGTCTCACCATCGATACATTCACTGTACTGAAAGAGAGAAACAGGCTTTAAGCACACAGCCAGACCAGTTGGAGCACATGCGTCTTCTCCGCTCCCTCCGCTGCAAGTTGAGCCGTGGCAACACACTAGACTTGCTCTCTCTCTCTTTCTCTCTCTCTCTCTCTCTCTCTCTCTCACTCTCACACACACACACACACACACACACACACACACACACACACACACACATTTGTTTGCATTCCTCCGAGGAACGCAATGACATTCATTCTTGAAGGCTCACCCCTAACCTTAACCACCTTAACCTCAGCCTAACCTTAAAACCAAGTTGTCACCCTAAAGTTCAGTGTTTGAAGGCTGAGTCCTCAGTTAATACTAGGCACGCACACGCAAACACACACACACACACCCCAGCCTGAGGAAAGGTGTGTCCAGAAAGCATTAGCACAAAACAGGAAGTTTAACTCTTAGCAGCAGCATATGCATAAAAGTTGAAATCATAGCCTATTTCTCACAGTGCCAGGACTTCATAAAGTCAGTGAATGTGGGCATGGGATTGCCCCTAAGATCCATTAAATCCTTAACTGCAAACTGCAGCGGGCGGACTGTGCTTTGGTTTTATTCTGAGAACATATTGATTTACTGTTACTAAAATAAAAGAGGCTTCAATTCTCTCTCTCTCATACACACACACAAACAAATGTTTGTCTCACTATAGTTGTGTGGACACTCATAGCATAACATAACATAACATAACACACGACCCTTAGCCATTACAACTAAATGCGTAAACCTGACCCTCAGCTTGTGTGTGGCTTCAGTTTGACTCCTGACCTTCAGCTTGTGTGTGGCTTCAGTTTGACTCTTCGCTAATCTCAGAGACACTTCACCATGGTGACAGCTCTGCACAGGACAAGGCCAGTTTATCACATGAAGACATAGTGGTGCTGTCGCTGACAGCAGATTGTTAAGGTACACCAGAAGTAGCAGCACAAAGATGACGGTGCAGTATACATCTTTTAAAAAATATGTTTATAGCATATTTCTGCACTGTGATGGCTAAATGACCTCACCAGTTCTCTCCTGTCATTTCTGTCCCTTCACATAATTGAAGCAGATAAATAAATGAATACACTTCTCATTACTTATGATCAGCATTTGGTGTCATATTCCCTCATCATTCTCCTCTTCTCTGCTACCACCTCTAAACATCCCCATCGGTTTAGCATTTATAATGTTCTATTCTTTAAGCCCCATTTTAGCTCTGCCAATAAAATGAGCAGGTGAAGGTCGTGATGACATCAATTTACCAGAGTGACTCCTGATATAAGTCAGAACTTTAACAGGCAACTGACAGGGAAGTTCATTTGGTGTATTGTCTCTGTGTCTACATCTATGAAAGAAAAGTATGCAAATTGATAAATCCATTTAAATTGCCAGGGATCCAGAGAGAGAGAAAGATAAACAAACACATACAAAGAGAGAGAGGGAGCCATATTGACGTGATACACTATGCCTCCACCGGTAATTGGTTTCCACCTCTGCTGATGTGCCTGGCAACAATCATACTGTCCAGTCAGTCCACATGAAAAAAGAAATGAAGCTCTAATTACAGTTAAGACCTGCAAGCTGGCAGGTAACTGTGAAATGGTCACCTGGAAACAAAATGATGAGCTGAAATCTTCTGTAGTGGTGCGCTGATAGAACTCAACAGTTGTCTTGGGTAAAGACATGCTTTCAAGTTAAAACATAAAAGCCCAATATTCCCTGAACATACTGCAGGCACAAAACATACCTTACTTTTTAGTTTAATTAGCATAATTAGCTGAGTAGCTCACGTAGTTCAAGTTCTTCCTGATGTAATGTACTAAATTAAATATAATGAAATGACACACCAGGAAACAAGCATCTAAACATTTTTTTTCTTTGATTTCCACATTGGCATGCTAATATATGCCGTTACAAAGGGGCAATGGAGATAACCCTTTCAGAATTTGAATGTGTTAATGACAGTGAGCGAGTCCCTCACACGTCTTATTGTGACACAGTGCGATACCTGTACAGCAGGAGCACAGAGAGCAGTTTTTAAAACCAGTTTGCTCACATCTTACAGCCAGTAATGCAGCTAAACATAGCTCCAGGGGCCCCCACACAATGGGTACCAACCCTCAGGAAGCTTAGGCAGTATTAAATCAGCATAGTCACACAATGGGTCCAAAGAACAGGATGAGAATACATATTAGTTTGCAATCTTTACAACATCTTTGAATGTTTTGCACAAGTTGGTGAAAAGTGAAATGGAGAGTTTTCTTCTCAGAAATCCATCTTTACCTAAATGGTCTTACTGTACAATTTCTCCCCCACTCTGCTTCTTCTAAGCCAGACATGTTATTGTTACTGCTCAGTGTCAGCGTGTGATCAGCACTCATGAGTCTGCCCTTGTATCACAGAAGGGTTTTCATGCCATGACAAACACTGTCGTGCTAATAATAGTTTCATTTGTTTTATTCATTCCCTTTCAAAATTGTGTTACTATGCACCTGAATAATTTTAATGATTCTTGCGTTTTTATTGTTTAGAAATGTAATTTAGTTCCTCTTTAAACTCTGGGATGTCCACCTGACACATTGCTGGTCTGGGAGACAACAGACCTCATGCATACCCCCAGGTATGACAACATACAGAAGTTTCTTATTAAATTACAGTTTATGTAAATAAAGTTTAAGCAAGTATTTTCCATTGAACCATTGTTTAAAGGCTTGGCAAAGAAAATGTTAACAGCTGACAGTGACAACAGATCAGAGTGGACAAAAGTCAAAATATTTAGCTTACATTATTTCGAGGACAGACAGAGAAATGCTTCCATGGGTGTATGAATGTAATGACTTCTGGACAGGTTATTTCATTTGTAATGCAATTCTTTCCTGTGGGCTAGATGCAGAGCTGAAAGTGGCAGATTTCAGAGGAAAATCCAGCACCAGCTGACAGTATGTGCTCTGCCAACTGCCGACCTGTCCAGCTGGGTCTCAAATAGTGACGTGTTGAGAGCTGACAGACCGAAACTGTGCTGACGTGAGTTCAGGCAGCCGAGAACACACCATGAGTGCAAGGAACAAATCACCATGGTTACTCAGTGCAGTAAGGTCAGTGTGCGTGACGCTGGATGTGACCATCTTGGCTAATAGAAGGCTTCCATCAGCAACCAGCTGTTGCAAATCTAGGCTTTGCATATATGCTGGTTTGAACTGCCAAATAATAGCACACTGCCTGCTGGTATTGGCTGTTTTTAATCGGACTAGTACATTCTTAATGGGTTAAGTCATATAGTTAATTCAAAGATTACTGAAGCATATCATGACACATTTGCTGAGTCCTTTATTACAAATTGTTCCCCTAACTTCTCATGACAAAACAATTATGGTGTCTAAAAATAGCCACATCCAGCTGCTACAGACCAGAGGATTTCTCAAGAATATATGTTGAAAATGAAAATGTACTTTTCACAGCACAAAAAACCCTGGTAGCTGGTAAGATACAACACTATTTTCTCACACTAGATGGTACAGGGACAAAGTGACTGGTTTCATTATCTGCTGACAACATGAAAACTCAAACATACACATAGAGCTGCATCTGCATTGATTGTAGCATATAAGGACAGCTCTAAGAACTATAATACCTCAGGTGTAATAAAAACCTACCCACACCATGACAATAAACTTGCGTAAGCCTTTCACAGCACTGTACAAAAGCAGTAAATGAAGTTCTCCCCAGGGCATCCATAAACATACATGTTCCCAGAGGGACTGAAGACTTGTGTAAACTACTGGAATAACAGGTGCATTGGTTTTCCCACTAGTTCACAAGGACAAGTCTAATAAGACTCACGTGTTGTTCAGGGTTCTCTAGCTAAAGCTGAGATATTTTCACCCACTGCACACTGCTTGATTTACTCACACACAGATTCTATGTGAATTCAGCATTTTCTCAGACAGATGCCACATGTGAAACGCATATGTACTTGAAGGCCTTTAGTATACAAGACTGTAAAAAACTTCTGCCACAACTGCACTTTAGTCATGCCAGGATCCAGAACTGAGCTGCTATGAAGAACTCCCATGTTGGACTGTAATATGATGGACTTGACATCCTTGGCGCAAGTTATGGTAAAAAAGCAAGTTAAAGAGCATTGTACTCCACACACTTTGACGGATCAGTTGGGAAGTGTTTCTGGCACATAGTCATCAGCCTCTTCAGTCCCTGTAGAAAGAAATATAAAAACAAGAAAATGAAATTCAATTGTCACTGAAAAGTATGTTTAATAGAAGGCTACTTGCTGTATATGCCCCTTTTGGTTCTACCAAAGTAGAACTCATCTTACAGACTGCAATATGATGATGTCATTATTACTGGGCAAGCCAACTCATCAAACTGATGCTGGTAGAGATGGAAACATTCAAACACCTGGTGAATTAATTCCCAGAATTTCCTAGAAACATCCAGTCAAAGGTTTGGACACACTTTCCCATATGACTCATCTACTATTTAGACCATAAGCCTTTCTCAGATGTATTAACATCTTAATATGGAGGAGAGATATTGATTTGCAAATGGATATGCAACATAATCTGCTAACTAATAAATACTGTACATATATATGATCAGCCGATAACCTGACATCCCCTATAACTCTCAGCGGTCTAATTAAAACACATTATTAACATATGAAAAGTTTATGCAGGTGTTGTGACCCTTACAGGCTGAAAATAATGCAGAGGAAATTGCAAACCCTACATACAAAAACAGTATATTAAGTTTCATAAATGTGACTGTCCTGAAGACATCCTGATAAGGATTTAGATTCCATTAGCAGGTAAAAAGATAATCTCACGGTCTCACCTGAATGTACTTTCTTTGCGTCTCATCATTGAGAACGTGAGCCACATGTTTGGAGAAGATCTTTTCTCGTCCAGTACGGGCATGGATACCCACCATGGTCACACCGATAGGCCAAGGAGCATTACCAATGGCCATCTGCAGATATGCATCATTTGCCTGAAAGAAATGTTGCACTGCTGTTGAAACATGTAGTTATAAACCTGAATAATAAAGGGACTAACATAGTCAAAAGCACTGTTATAGATAGTAACATACCTTAACATATTCTCTCTCTAACATGAATTTAATGATGTCTGTGATTGACTCTTTAATGTCAGCTGGTAAGCTCTGAAAGAGATAGCAATGAAATTAAAAAAAAACAAAAAACATATAACTACATGCACACCCCATGAACCACATTTTGCAGCTTGTTTTATTCTATCCACAAATGTTACCTTCTTCCTGAGCTTCCTGAAGAGAGGACTGAGGTAAGACTCAGTCTGTGAGTGTGTTGCACTGGCCAGTTTGCCCTGAACGCTTCGCTTCACATGGTCCTCTCTGCTGTTCAGATCTTTGGCCCAAACACCAAGAAGAAACTAGAATACAATGAGGGAGTATGGTTATAAAGAAAATATGACCAAGTACTCCAAAGTTGACAGACACAAGACTTATGATAGTCAAGGGAGCATTACTAATGACCAATGACTGGTAGTAATAAAAAACACTACCAGTAAGAAAATTGGACACTTTCTGATTCAGTTCAGTGAGAAAGTGTGTCCAAACTTGTGACTGGTAGGGTACATCAAAATATGGTCATAATGTAATATTTCTTCATTTATTTATTAATGTAAATTCAAATGACATAGATGGCAGCCACAGTACTGATATATTATTTTTTAATC